AAATGGAATCATTAAATATCAACAAAAATTTCTTTCCCTCCCCCCTCTTTTTTTCGTCGAAACATACATGGAGGGGGTGTTTTATAAAATAAAAATGATAAATCAGAATATTGCCTTAATGTGTCAGTATTTTTATTCATATTCGACAGTTAAAAGAAAAGTTTTCTACATAACCTCCATAACAATTATTATAACAGTCATCATGGTTAATTCGCGAGACATTCGTGTATCAAGTTTACAAAAGAAATGCAACATAAATTCCTGTCGCAAATGAAATGAAATACAGAGAACTTTGCTTACATATCTCACACCAATTATCTTCATTTCGCATATAAGTATCAGAAATTAAAATGAACATTTAAAGAAATCAAAACGATTTTTCGTTGTAAATTTATATAGAAACTAACCCATTATCTTCATTACACCATGTGAGATGTTATATTGATAATACAATAAGTAATCAAATAAAACAAAAAGTACATTTCACATTGTTACAAACATAAATGGAATCATTACATATCAACAAAAATTTCAGGGTGTTTATAAAAATAAAAATGATTAATCAGAATATTGCCATAATGTATCAGTATTTTTGTTCATATTCGACAGTTAAAAGAAAAGTTTTCTACATAACCTCCATAGCAATTATTATAACAGTGATCATGGTTAATTCGGGGACATTCGTGTATCAAGTTTCCAAAAGAAATGCAACATGAATTCTCGTCGCAAATGAAATACAGAGGACTTTGCTTACATATCTCACACCAGTTATCTTCATTTCGCATATAAGAAAGGGTATCCCTTTCATTATAACATAAGAAATGATTGAATTTTCTGAAAATTTTACATTTCGTTCTGGTAGTGTCTGTTTGACATCGTAACCACAATTCTAAACATTTGTTGCAGCTTTTCAAATAAATATTAGACTCATTATTTTGAACAATTACATGTTTTACAAATGTGATATGTGCAATCTTTAGGTGTAAAAGAAATATAACATCATCATCAAAGAAAAACCAGGCAATAAATTGTTTAGAAAACCACTTATTAAATCGAATTCTTTCATAGAGAGTTAAACTTTCATCCCAAAATACATCTCTGTTCTCTAAGGAGAAACTACTTTCAAAATCAATCCAGAATCGACCTTTCTCTATTATATCTCTTAAAATCATACGAGGAATATTCAGTTCTACATTATACAGTTCAGCTATACATAATATCGAAGATAAAATAGTTTGAATACACATATCTTGCAAAGAAATTGGTTGAAATAAAGCCATATCTTCTGGGTATCTTCTGGGTATTCTATGGGAGGGAAACACATTTTTGTTTTTTTGTCGATCATTAGCATAAAAAAATATAAGTTGCAAAAATACAATGTCACACTCTACAATAAAATGTTACAAAAAAGTTCCATCATTTTTTTTTAATTCATGTCTTCTTCACGCGTGTTATAGTGACCATAAGACAATGATTGAATTCCATCATCTAACAAATATTTTTTTGTCATAATATCCCGAGAGGCTAGCTTTATTTTGAAAAATCGTTTGCAGTTCGTGCTTTTTTGAAATGATTGAATATTGAGAATTCCTAATCAGGGAAGCATTTTCGAAAACGTTTTTATACGTTTCAAATCCAATGTTTTTGAGCGCGCTCCTTTTGATTCCTTTCGCGGTCTTTTTAACAGTATCACCGAAACGAAATGCGTACATTTTGCATTTCAAACCCACAAATTCCGATATGGGGGTGAGTGTCTCACTTTTTAGAAATCCCAGTTTTCCACGGTTCTCTTCATTAAACATTATATGATTGGGTTCGAAATTACTGCAATCCAAAATATTTAAAAAATTCGTTTTTAAATCACTATATACATCTTCAGTTGTTATATAGAGATACAAAGAATCTGTATCTGTGTATAACAACTCGCATTTTTCTTTGTAAAAGTGTTTAAAATGGGAATAGAATAATTTATACATGTGCAACTTCGCTAATTCTAATTCTAAAACGCTGAAACCTATATAAATCGGTTTATCTAGACACAAATTTGGATTTTTCATTTTGAAAACTGAAAAATTTTCATTAATTATTTCAAAATATTCCAGCAGAGGACTGTTTAATTTTTTTTGGCATTGTTCCTCACTAAAAACGCCCTGTACGCGAATACGTTTCCTAACATTTTGACAGGTTTTTCCATAGAAAGCGTTATTCATCTTTTTAAAGAAAGATTTTTCAAATTCGCTAGACGCATTTTGTCTTTTCATATTATTGAAAGCAATGTATTCTTTAAGCCACGCTCGTTGTTTGAAAGCTAAAATTCTATGAATTTTCTTAATTATTAAACCCTGTTCTACGTAAAACTTTAGATTTAAATAATGAGCGATGTAATTTTTTTTTTTTTCAAAAAAATTGGGTAATAATTTTTTTGCATGGAAGTGTCGTCTCTAACTGAAATTTTTTGCTCAGGGTTTTGGCGTAAGGCGATAGCATGTCAAAAGTGAGTTCAAAATGTTCCGGTGCTAGCGGTAAATCATTGTGTTGGTCATGCAGATGGGAGGGATATAACAACAGATCGGATTCGATAATATACCCCACATCACCGTCTTCAACACAAGACAAAATATCAAACGCCTCCACCTCATTTTCCTTTAACCAGTAAAAACCTCCCAATGGCAGGTGCTGGCTCATTACACACCCGTATAGATTATTTGCGTCTAAGGCTAAGATATAGGTGTGTGGTAAATCGGGTTTATAACTCTCGGGGATATAAGGATTATTTGCAAGAGCATAACGTCTACCCAGAAAACAAATACCTCCTCGCATTTGGTTTTCAAACCAAATGTATTGATTCACATCTCCTAGAAGCTCTAATTCAATTTTAATTTTAGACGCTTTCAGTCCGGCATTCCACGTTAATTCGGCAGCCGTTATAAAATGTACAGGATCCAACTGGTAATATTTTAGAGCGGTGCGTCTGAAGGATAAAAATACTTCGGCTAGCAAAATAACATCTGTATTTTGATATAACTCTAAGTAATCGGCAAAAGTGTTACATCCAAACGAATGAAACACGTGTGTGGCATGTACATAATCTTCGTCGGAAACTGCTTCTCCTTGTAATACATTATTAAACGCGCTCTGCGGTGGAAGCGAAAATTTCATCCAACACCGATGTTGACGCAAAATATGAGTAAGGAAATACGCCTTTCCGCAATAACAATTCTCGTTGGGGATTTTTCTTTTTCTCAAAAATGCATTAAACAATTTAAATTCATGTTGTGACGTTTTCAAATTCGACACCAAAGTGTCCAAAGACGCATCTAAAAATTGAAACGAATCAATAAATTTCATTTCATCTAGTGTAAACATGGTGAATTTTTCCAAATTCACCGGAATAATGTTAACTTTATTTGCATACATTTTCGGCATGTGTTTTAGTAACAGGTGACTATCATAATTCCTGAAATTATGAATTACCACCGGAATGTAGTTTGACACTTTAAAATTCAAATTACAGGAGCGATGTGCAAGACCTCTCACATGCCCATCACTCCAGTGGCAGTGATCTCTGACCCGAACATCGCCTTCTAAGAAAGGATTCAAACATATATGACATATATTTGAATCGTAACTTTTTTCCGACGTCTCCTGCATCGGTAAACACTCTTTCATCTTTTGCAAAATTTTAGATTTGATTTCGCTCAACGTTGTGAAAAAATGTTCCATTACATTCTCTCCGCAAAAATATTCATGAAAAATAATCTTGTCTTCCACGTCAGTAACTATTAGGGTATAACTAATAGGAATATGCTGTTCAATTGGGGTAGTATGACTCTGTTGCGGAGAAGGAAACGCAGTTTGAATCTTGCGCGTGAGGCATTCAAAATCGGTAAAGACACAAAAAGGATGATAATGCATTTTCATTAAATTTGTAAATTTAAGAAGTGTGTTTTTAGGAATGCTAACTTTCTGCGGTTTGTTTTCATTGCAAAGAGTTTTGTGATACTCTAACGTTTCCCTTCTCTGAAACCCACTTAAACAAGTTTTACAAAAAAAATTTACTCGTTTTTCGTTTTTCGTTTGCGTGTAATAGACGATTAAAATTTCGAATACAAAAGAAATGTTTTTGAAAATATAGCAAATCTACTGTTTTTGTCGCATTTCGCTTTTCACTTAATTGCAAAGGTAATATTTCATTTTCCTCATATCCATACACGTTTATGGATACATCGTTCAGGTTTTCAAACATTTTTACATCGCCTAACGCTAAGGGAAATTTGAGGGATCCTAATTTAAAACGTGATATATCCTTTTTATACAAGTAAGCCTTCTGAGGATTTCTAGTGGATTTCGGAAAAACACTTGCGGCAACAGAATATAAAAAACAATTGTCGTCACCACATTTGATATTTAACAACGCTTTTCTATTTTTTAATCCCGTCGGTAAAGCGATGTTTTTACAACCACCGCGATTTTCCCGATAGTTTCCAACGTGTAAGTCAAGGTACTCTAACTTAACTTTTTTTTATTTTCCACCCGCTTCCATTACGCACAAAATTATCTATCAAATTTAAAATCTTTTTAAAGCATCTGTCAATGCTTTCGTAGATTTGGTTAGAGGATAAAATCCTTTCGCAATGAGAACAAAAATAAAAAACACTGATTAATTTCTTTTTCATCTTTCCCCAGTTTCTCAAAACATATTTTCAAACATATTAAAATCCTGAGTCTTAAACTCGATCTAGTATTTAAAATGTTGTATATGGCAGGGCGTGCCGTTCTGAATATCTCATACGGATCTTTCTGAGAAGCATCGAATGTTGTTCTTAAAGTGCGCAAATAGCCTCGGTGGGCTTGCGCTAACTGAATAAAATTCATCATTTGAAAAAAAATAATAAATAAATAATGGAACTTTTTTGTTTACAATATTATATAAAATTCATATTAATTTACTAACTTCCACTACCGCTTTCCAGCAAAATCAGCATTTTGATATCTATATCTTTTTTTTTTTTTTTTTTAATTTTACATACAGTGACTCTTAATCACCCCCAAAGCTTCGATTATACGATCAATACAATTCATATTTATATTAAATCTTTTGGGGGTGGCGGCGGTTTCGGGATACACCCTTACAAATGAAACATAATTGACATTTTTGAAGTCACAAGTTTCTATTGAAACATTTTTTCCAATGTATATTTTAATTTTTTTGAGTTTTTTGCGGGAGGTTTCGCCTTCCTCGGGAGCAAGGTTTAAAATAAGATCTTCCGACGGCTGCACATCCCCCAACGTGTCAACACATCTACGTTTGCGTTCTAAAATAAACTAATTTTAATTATAATTTTATGCTTAACATTTATCGCAGAAAGTATTTAACAATAAAAGAACAATAACAAAAAAAAAAAAAAAAAAAAAAAAAAAAAAAAAAAAAAAAAAAAAAACCTTACGTTTCACTCACCATTACGAGCTTCCATTGTAATCCTTATGGAGGATGATAGCACCAACACCAACCTCACCGCTTCGAAATGTAATGATCAAGTGAAAGTTTCACAAGTCTCGCCTTGTGCGCTTACAGGATGTTTACGCTTTCAAAACACGTATTTCATCAAATACTACTTTCACCTCCCCCTCAAAATCTTAACCTTGATCTAACCTTTCTCAAGGAAAAGCGACCATCTCGTTCCTAATTTAGCAATGCAGAATATTATCCCAGCCCACTCAACTGAAACCAACCCTTTCAAATGCGCATATTACATTCGACTCGTGAATTTTAATTAAATCATTCCCCCCCTTTTTTTTTACAAGCCTCTCATCCTTCATTTAACGCGCTATTTTAGAAAAACATGGTATATGACAAACAGTCTCGCCTACATTACCGCCTACTACTACATCCAAGTACTTTTGAAGGTCGACTGCACTTCCGGGGTGCAGGGATACTCAAATCCTAACTACTAGCGAACCCTACCAAGAATCCAATAGCTCCCTACTCTCCGGACTTGTTAACTTCAAAACTCAATGCGGAAAGTCGTTATTAGAGAACCAAGCATTTAAATCAGCAACCAACCCATCGAAAGCGGAGTCGTTATAGACGTCTTGAAAAAATTAGACTTTTTTAACTCCAATCAATAACACTCGCAGCTCACTAAAAGTCCTCTCTTGGAATGCGAACGGTCTGTTCGGCAAAAAAGAAGAATTTAATTATCTAATTCAAGAACTGGAACCAGACGTAATTCTCATTCAAGAAACTCACCTGAAGCCGGGCAAAAAAGTACTAATAGCAAATTATAATATCTACCGGACAGCCCGGACACTGGAAGAGGAGGAGGAATTTGTACCTATGTCAAAAGAAGTCTTGATCATCAAATTCACCCCAATAAATCAATCTCATTTGAAAGCAACAGCATAATAGCGAAATTCAACAATCAAAGTTATATCATATCTAATATTTACATCCCACCAAGAAATAACCTGGACATGACAGAACTAGGAATTCAACTTCCTACAAACTCTAATGCAATAGTGGGAGGCGACTTCAACGCCAAACATAGACTATGGAATTGTAACTCATCTAATAAAACAGGCAGGAACATTTTCAACCTGATTCAAAATAGAAATCTTAACATACATGCCACCGATGAGACCACCCATTAGGGTACAATAGCCACTCTACAATAGACTTTTTTCTTTCCTATAATCTAACTCCAAACTGCACCATCTCTGCCATTCCAGCCTTAGCATCCGACCACAACCCGATGATGCTTAAAATATAAACTAATGTCTACTTCCTGACTTTGGGACGCTGTGTGGGAATTACAAATCGGCCAAAGTTCTCTGAAATTTTAACCTCTACGATTCCAGGCAACCCTAAAATTGAAAAGGAACGCCAACTAGAAGAAGTAATTGATAAATTCACCCAAAATATTCAAAATGTCATCAATCTAGCTACCAATAACATCACTATCAAAAATAATTATATGACTTTCCCCAGGGAAATCAAGGACAAGATTAGAAGGAAAAATAGGATTCGAAAAATCTGGCAAATCACTGGATACCCCATTATTAAAAACCAACTCAACAGGATCCAAACGAAATTAAAAGAAACATCGCAAATTTCAAGCAAGACAGATGGAAAAATTATTTAAATGACTTATCTACAGAAGACAATAGTTTTTACGAAATCACTAGAAAGCTCAAAAATAGTTATAAACAAATCCCTAATCTTCACACCAGCTCCGGCGTAGTATATTCAAACCAAGACAAAGCAAACGCCATCGCAGAAACTTTGCAAGAAACATTCACTCATAATCTAGACCCATATGATGAAGACACACTGAATGAAGTCAATAGCCTTGTGAACAACTTTCTCAATACCCCTGGACCTCGCAACTTTATTTTCCTCACACATCCTATCACCGTAGCGGAATTTATCAATTAGCAGAAGAAGAAAAAAAGCCCCAGGGGACGATTGAAATCACAAATATTGCTCTGAAGAATCTTCCCATCAACGCCATCACCTGTCTCACCAAAATTATCAACAGCATCATCAAACTGGCTTATTATCCTAAAATTTGGAAACATGCAATTATTGTTGTCTTCTCGAAACCTAACTCCAATGCGGCTTTCCCAGAAAATCACCGTTCCGTTAGTCTACTGAGCAACCTTGCAAAAATAGCTGACCGTATCATATTGTACAATATCCAGCCAAAAATTCACTCCTTCAACTACCTGCCTGACGAACAATTTGACTTCAGAGAAAACATAGCACCACATATCAATTACTAAGAGTTATCAACTATATCACGGATGGATTCAACGCCGAACTGCCCACAGGTGCCATATTCCTGGCTGTCGCAAAAGCGTTCGACAGGGTACGACCCAAAGGCCTTATTTTCAAACTCATCAAATTAAATTTCCCGGACCACTTCATCCGACTTGTCGTCTCCTACCTAGAGAACATAACCTTCTCTGTCAAAATTAATAAAAGTCTCTCCTCTAGAAGAAGTATAATTACAGGTACACCTCAAGGATTAGCACTTTCCCCATATTTTTATAATATATATACTCACAATATTCCAAGAAATCCGTCTATCACAATAGCGCTTTTCGGAGATGATACAGTTATTTTAACTTACGCCTCCAGCTTAACTAACGTCTGGCTGCAACTACAAAACTACCTAAATCAAATTGAAGACTGGCTCACCAAATGGCGAATCGGAATTAATACCCAAAAATTCAAAGTAGTTTTATTTAGAATAGGGAGCTTTAATAAAAATACATCCCAAACCTATGATTTTTTAAGAAGAAATAGAATGGTAAAACGAAGCAAAATACTTTGGAATAAAACTTGACAATAAACTCACTTTTCGCCAGCAATTTAAAGCAACAAAATAAAAACTAAATTACACCAGGGTCAATATGCGTCCCCTCCTAGGAAGATTAAGCAATGTTTCCTTAAGAAACAAATCATTCTTTATAACCAAGTTTTAAGACCTGCATTACTGTACGTATGTGAAATCTGGGGTAATGCCGCAAAGACAAATTTAAAACAACTCCAAGTCATTCAAAATAAAACTTTAAGAGAAATCACTGACGCACCCTGGTTCCTCCCGAGTGTAAATATTCACAGCGATCTCAAAGTCAAGCCCATTAACGATTATATAATAGAAACCGCAGCTAACTTCTTCTTCTTCAAAGTCGGAAACCACAATAATCATCTAATTGCCTCTTTAAGAAATCACTTCTCCAATTCTAACCACAAATACCCAGCGGATATTCTATAACAGCGTAATAAGTAGAACCCCCCAGCAACCAGCAGAAGCGCTTAGCTCCCAGGGTCACTGAACCGAGCGCCCCCGCTAACAGAGTCAACCGGGTTTCACCCCCTGTACTCCTGCCATATGATCTGCGAAATAGCAGTTCTACTTTCGGTCCTAATCCTTCGTAGATGTAGGTTGCTCGAATATGACTGAGCCATCCGAAGCAACTAGGCCTAGAGGTAACGTCAGTTATCCTTATGTTGATGAAAGTCGCCCCATCGCTGCTAATCAAGGGCGCGAAAGCTGTTTTGGTTTACCTCCTGACAATATCGGATTACCATCGGATAATGAAAATTCGCACTATGAAGTGGACGTTGCTCGTGGCAGACTTAAAGAAGTTGAGAAAAGAATTGAAAGCCTAAAAGCCTCACTTAGGATCTACCAAGACAACCGATCTGTTACTGATGAGGATGTCGTCTCTACTCCGACGATAAATCTAATACAGAAGCTGAAAGTTCAAGCCGAGGAATTACAAGGTAAGTGCAACTTTCCTAGCTCGTCAGGCACCAAACACCCCCTAAACCTAAAAGTCAAAAGAAAAGTAAGGAAACTAATAGTAAACGTAAATTGTTGGCAGGTTGCAACGTAAATTAAGTGCTAATCCTTTTAAAAATACTGATAATGATGGCTTTCAACTAACTACGAAAACGGTTAAACAACGAAAACTAGAAAAAGTTAGTGAAAATATTGAAACCAGCAATCAATTTAATGTTTTAAATGAAAAAATGATTACTGATAATGTTAATAATGATACTACTGCTACCCAGACTGTGCAGCAGCAGATGACCCCCAACCCTTAGGCTGTTCCCCCCATTATGGTGAATACAGGTGATTTAACGCATGAGGATTTCCTAAAAGAACTTGCGAATACCACGTATGCCAAATTCCTAGGAAAGATTAACGGAGAATTGCTTAAAATTCTACCCACTAGTCCGGAGGATCACCGCGCGCTTACCGCTTTGTTTAAAAATAAGCACATAGAGCACTATATAATTAATGCGAAGCATGATAGGCCGATTAAAGTCGTCATAAGAGGAATTGCTTCATCGACCAAAACGGAGAATATTGTTAACGCCCTGACTTCTAGAGGATTTGATATAGCCAAAGTCACTCAGCTCACCCGAAGAAGAACGATGTCGCTGTTCTCGCCACGGCATTGCTTGTTCTCTAATGCCGCTGTTCTTGGTTCACATCAACAAGAACGAAAATTCTGACAATATACTATATTATCTAAAGGATATCCTGCTATTCTCGGTAGAAGTGAAAAAGTTTGTTTCCAAAAACCAAGTGCCCCCAATGTTATAACTGTCAGCGGTGGCACCTTTCCTCCGAAAACTGTTTCTTCGCCCTTCGCTGTGTGAAATGCTTTCTGAATCATAAAACTAAGGACTGCCCTACGCCCGGACGGATTGAAAATCCTAAGTGCAGCAACTGTTCTCAAAATCACACAGCGTCCTATCGTGGATGCCCTCGATTCCCAAGAAAATAGATTTCTCAGCAAAGAAAAGATAACCTGGTTAGAAATGGACTTTCCTTTGCAGAAATGGCAAGGCTTCAAACTGAGAATCATACCCTTACACTGACCGAAAAGGTCCCCCAGTCATCTTCTGCTGCACAGAACGATATTAATCACATTGAAACTAGTACTTTTAATGTTAAATCTAAATTTAAAAACATCGTCAGAAATAG